GGAACCGGGCCTGAAGATCGCAGTTGCCAGGGTTTAAATCACTTAACCCCCTGCGTTAGAGCCAAAAATGACGACACTGCTCACTGGGTTGACATGGGGATCTAGACTTCCATACTACAGATGGCTGTGCGCTATATTCTAGGAGGGTAACCTCGTCCCATATCCTACCTCTAAGATTACTTCTCATAATTCTAACTTTTCTAACGCTACTCCTAGCTCCCTGGTATTTAGAACAAGGCCACTTGTAATATTAGATGCCACGCCTTGCTAACCACCGATGAGATGAAGGAATCGGTACGGCTTCAACTTACATGTGGACTAAAAACTAACCCCATTTGATAAATTTGAATCGTCCTTTCGCATACAATTCTGGTTGGAGGTCGTTCAGAGCTCAATGCGGTGTCTTTAACACGCTGTTTTGCTCTCTGCCATTTTCATTTAGCAATGGCTATCAAGCGATCAACGTGAGCGTACTGATTTCAGGAAGAGTGTTGTCACCGTGCGGTAGGCCCCAGATATCCCGGAACGTTAGCTGAAATTCTGAAATATTGCCTAGTTCCGGGGTCGGCAACCTATGGCTCGCGAGCCAGGTGTGGCTCTTTTGATAAATGCACCTGGCTCTCTCAGATTAACTTGGAATTAAGTGCCTCAGATTTTGTTATTTTATTATTTATAAAAATAACTCCAGTGGCTTATTATACTCACATTTAATTAAATTAAATCGTAAAATATATTATATGGCTCTCACTGAAGTATATTTTCAAATCTGTGCTTTCTTGGCGCTCTGAGTCAAAACGGTTCCCGACCTAGTTGGTCAGGCTGACGGCGCAGGTAAAAATTAAGAGCCTAAGCACATACCTCGTCTACGAGGTTCTATTTCGCATGATTTACTACAAGTTAAACAGTACTTTATGGAGAAAGTGAAATGTTGATTTGACGCTTTTGCGAGACAAAGCATACTTTATAGAAATTATGCACAACTCATCCATTCTTCCATTTATTTTGTAGACAATTACGTCGTCTTCATATTTCACGCCCAAAGTAGAGGTAGGTCTTGAATACCGTTTTTAAGTTCCTCAGAAATTATTTGCTCCCTTGCAGTAAATCAGTCTGTTTAAAGATTCCTAAACGTTGACCCACAGTTCATATGAATGTTTGGGTCGAATCCAAGGTAACCGCGTAACATTAATTAAACTGCCAACAGGCAGAAACTAGTCTACATGTCAAAAGGGCAAAAGTAGCTTCTGTAGCCCCACTCATATAACCCTAGTCCCGACATTTTGTCCTACAAAAGCGGTGGTTATAGAGTTTTGTGGGGTGGGGAAATAGGTTAGGCAGAGAAGGAAATTTTTAAAAGTAAGTGCAAAGTGAAAAAATGTAGTCGAAGTTGCTTCCCGCGTCCCTGGGAGCAGGTTGTTTCCGCCTGTAAATTGAAGGTGTGCCGCTTAGCGCCGCGGACTATACTAATCTAACTCCAGAACGGTAAGTTGGACCTCAGGTGAGTTGCTTCCCGCGGCCGCTGGGAGCAGGTTGCTCCGCATGTAAATTGAAGGCGTGCGCGGCATTTCCGCGGCCGCTGGGAGTAAGTTGTTTCGCATGTAAATTGAAGGTGTGCGCGGCGCTTCGCTCCCCGGGACTATACTAATCTAACTCCAGAACGGTAAGTTGGACCACAGGTAAGTTGATGTAGACGACCTCCTAACCACCATTTCAACTTTTCGGGAAATTCAAGAAACCTTCAGTTTGATAATCGGGTCTTTCCGCAATAAATTAAATGATAATACAGATTAGGAAAATCTACAT